TATCATCGCATTTGGTCAACACAGGGACTTCATGGCTTCGCTGGAACAATGCCATATCCCAGCAACCGCTAGCTATGCTAGTTGTGATGCAGTATCCTTGTATACGAACGTCAACACCTGGGACGCAGTTGATGCTCTAATAGACTTATGGAGCCAGCATAGACGGGAAATCTTCGTCTTTGGCCTGGAAGAAGAAGACCTGCGGCAATTGTTCAAGGCAACGTTGGAGTGAATATATTTCAGTTCGACGGAAGGTTCTTCAAGCAAAATCGGGGGCTAGCCATGGGGTTACGAATCGCGCCCTTACTAGCCATCCTTTTTCTGGACCGCAAAGAGCGTCGGTCGCTAACATCAGGGATATTATTTTACAAAAGGAAGGACATCGATGACTTTTTCGTTATTTGTCCTCATCGGGGCAGTTTGGAAGATACACTTCTAAACCTCAACTCACAGGATCCAGACATCAAGTTTACTGTGAAGAACCCAGATGAGGACTGATTTGTCCCATTTCTAAACACCAGGGTCAAGATTGAAAACGACCGGCGTCGAAGAATATATTACTGCACGGTAGTATTTGCCACCCCTCATATATGAAAGCGAACGTAGTTCGCAATTTAATCAAGACAAAAGAAAGAACATGTACGCAGCGGTCGCAACGAATAGATACAACGGTGGACCGAATTCTCAGGGAGAATGGATACGTCAATACACGTATTTACACATGGAGACCGTACTCGACACCAGATGGCATTCCTTTGGTAATGCCATATCTCAATGAGAGTACGGCACTGAAAGTTAACAGTATAGTCAAAAGCTCACCACTCCCATACAGCTCATATTTCGTCCACCGCGAAATCTAAAAAGGCTACTAACGTACTCCAGGCCTTATGAAGAAAAATGCGGACGAGGGAACTGTACCTACTGCAATGGTAGAAAAATATGCCAACTCCGAGGAACGGTGTATTTGATAGAATGCCAGGGATGCGGGCAAAAATATATCGGAGAGACAAAGAGGCCACTCTTCAAACGATTAGATGAACACCGCAGGGCCCTAAACAATCCAGCTTCATACCCGCATAATAGTCTCTCGAAGCACCGCACCAAAAGGCATATACACGAAAGTCCTCCCGCAATCACCATTACAGTATTACACCGTTCCATAGAAAATACAGTGGAAAGAAATCTATCAAAAGGACTGGAAATAAAAAGGCTTTCTCCGGAAATGAAATGTAGGGATGAGCTAAGTGACGCGCTGCAGTTTATTCACTGACTACGTGATAATGGTTGAGCGGTCAGTGATATCATATGCAGAGGCTCTCACCAGGCATCCTCACTATTTAAGGGAGGATGACGGGTAGGGTTGCAGTTACTAGAAGTCGCACTTTTGCAAGAAGCGGCGGAGGCTATATTGGAGGCAGAAGACTAAGAGTCCAGCTCGGGCACCACTGAAGACAAGGTCCGGGATTCGGTTGCAGACGACTAACTATAGTATTTCAGATCGCTGAGGAAGGTGCTAGACACCGAAATATTTGAAGGAAGTATTAGAAACAATAAAAATTTTTGCAAGAACTTTTGCATTATTTTGGGTCTTTTGAGTTTTTTTTGCAATAAATTTTTTGGCGCCTCTTTCACGTGTTTCATGTTCAGTATGGATGTGGTCCATGCAACAGAATCCCTTCGAAACCCGGCCTGTTCCACTTGTTGATAGTCATCCAGTTGTTTCTCGAGCGTGTTGAGGATTACCTTCGTGAACAACTTGCATGGCTGCGAGAGGAGGGCGAAGGGATGGTAGTTCTTCATTAGGTCGCGCTCGCCCTTCTTGAACAGAAGAACCGTGCTTGACGTCTTTCACTGGTCCGGGACCTCCTGCGCGTCCATGTACCTGTTATAGCGCCTGGTGAGCGTTTTATGACGGTGCGGGACGCCGACTTTAGAGAGTCTACTGAGATGCGGTCAGGTCCTGGTGCCTTCCCCGGCTTCATTTGACGCAAGGCGTGTTCCACCTCCCACTCTTCTATCTGTGGGGCGCATCCTGCATAGGCATAGGTATCGTGAAACCGGCATCGTTGATCGATAGAGATCCGTGTAGAAATCGACGACGATCTCTTCAGTCCTCGCTGTCGATGTCTGCGGTCTGCCCATCGCGTCTTGCATAACCGTGGTGACCGAGCGAGAGTCGTTGATGTCTCGACAGCATCGTTTGAAACCGATAGATCGCAAAACTACAATACAAACTAGAAAACTAGTAGAAAACAAAAAGGAAACCTAAAATACAAAACCACCAAACAAAGACAAAAACTCACGAAAAGTGCTAGAAACCAGAACTATTTATTAGTTTTTGAATATTAGTCGTTCGCGGTCAACCGCACGCGAGCGCGCTGGTACAAACGTATTGGAGCGCGCTACCTGACCTGGAGCCAATTTCAAGCCGAACGGTCAAAAGTATCCCTCGCTCGAAGACCCACAGCTTAGAGGTTTTGGACAGGGGGAAAGCAGGAATGGGGAGCACTGGATCGGCTCTTATTACCTAATTTGAGCGATTTCAGAAACACTCCTTTTCAAGAAATTTTCTCCGTTGTGATCCTAGCGTGATCCTCGGGGGTCATCCACAAGTCTTATGGCTTTGAACAGCTATAACAAGCTTCACACAGGGCATTTCGTGAAAAGAAAAACATGCCAGAGGCGTGAAGCTTTCTATTTCTAACAAGACTTTCGTTCTATCCCTAGGCCGCTATTCGAAAAATCCCCTGTTGTGATCACAGCGTGACCACTGCCCTACGACCCGAAAACCCCTCCGACACCATAAAACCTCCATTTGGCTTAAAGACTTTGGTATGCTTCTAAAACGCATGTTTTTGCCAAGGAAATAGTTCATTGGGTGCCAAGGCATCACCTCTGCGTTGCGCCATGCATAGCGCTTTCACGCAGAGCTATTGGGAAGGTGCAACTTCTAGAAAGGGCTTCCTCCGTGCAAGTAGATGTGCTTCTGCGATAGAAAGTTCCGGAAGTGTATTTCCATATGTCTATCAATTTATGGCGGATATTCATCGACGCGGAGGTGGTGTAGTGACAAGTGACGCGCTTACCACTCGCAAGGTTCTGGGTTCAAATGCCGGGTCGACTCCTGCCCAAGCCAACCAACCCTTCTCTCCTCCGAGGACGGTGAGTTGGTACCAAATTCTTTTGGTAGGATAAGAATACAGACATCTACATCGGCTGGCCACCGCAATTCATTCTATAGGCCACATCGTATTCAACAAGCCACTACGATTCTGAATGGAAGTAGAATGCGTGCCGCATTCAACAAAGGGGTTGATCAACGGCGGAGTCTTCATCCTTTATATTTTTTCATTAATTCATGACCTCATTGTGGGCGGCCGCCGTATTTCCTGTCATGCCCGTTCCCCACTTCTGCGCTGGCAGGTTGCTTCTGTCTTGTGTGTCTCTTCAGGGGTTCTTTACATGGAAGTCTTTCATCACTGAAGCTGAACGACATCTCGGTATCGCTGCACCTTCACTTCAGAAAGTCCCGCGCTACGACCTCCTCCCCCTCCCTCGAGCTCAAATACGATCCCCCTGTTGTGATGATCACAACGATGGCGTGCCCTGGTCCCAGTAAGAGGGGACGGTGACAACTGAGACTTATAATGATTCAATAAAGAATTCTGTTTGGTAATGTTTTGTTGGAGCAAGACAGACATGGAGCAGAAAGATTTACTTTGTTTTGATATCTGAGTGACTAGAGTGCGAATTCAAGAAAAGCGAGCATTTTGAAACCCTGCCTTTCGCGTTCAGTCAAGAAACTGAAGCCGCAAGTTTTTTTTGTAGGGTGTACCGGGCGGTAGTAAGGCCTACAATGCTCTACGGCAGTGAATGCTGGCCCATCTGCAAGAACCATCAAAGGCAGCTCCACTCAGCTGAAATGAGGATGCTGAGGAGGGCCTGCGGCTGGACACGATTCGACAGAGTCAGAAACGAAGACGTCAGGGCGGTCGCACAGACGGCTCCGATCCAGTAGAAGGCACAAGAGCAGCGACTACGATGGTATGGGCACGTGCTAAGGAGGCCTGAACCACCTAATAAGAAAGGCATTGGAATGCGAGGTAGAGGGCAAGCGAGCACGATTACCCCAAAGAAGAGATGGAGGGACGTCATCAAGAGAGACCTCACTGAAGTGAAAGCCACAGCAGAAGATGCAGTGGATCGGAACAAGTGGGACGTCAATAAGAACAACGGACCCTGCGACGGCGCGGGACTAGCGCTAGGGAGAAGAAGAAGAAGGAGCAAGACAGACCCAAAAGCGAAGTCTCAGTTGTCACCGAAAACCACACCTCTTCGTGGCCCACTGTTGCAGAGTGGAGAGCCGCCCCTCAGAAACCTGGAGTGACCGGATGGTTACTAGGGGGAGGTGTAGGGGAGCGGTGTGGAATGTGAGAATGGACGGAGTGAGGATGATTGGTCGAGAGAGTTGATAAAGGTTTGTGAGCGCATGAAAGATTTGTTGTTGTGTAATAAAGCATTCCTCTGCCTGTGTTTCGTCTCATCGCAACTGAACTTTTCCAAAAGCTGATCTAAACAACCTCCCTTACAAGTCCTCTTTTTGGATGGATGCCGGTTGTCCTGAATGTTCTTCGCATTCGATGTATGTCGATCGATGTGTTCTCGCATCGACGATGGAAGTGCTAGCGAATGATGGGGGGATAGTGAGCTCCATTGCTCTCGAACACAGTGCATGAACGATAGCCATTTCTCTTACAACGCCTCTTTGTAGGAGTTTGGAATGGGGATATGTGAAAATTTTGGTCTTCCTTAGTTGCTCATTTAGCAAATTGGACATTCGTATATATGCATTGTGCATTCGTTATACACTCTTGTAGAGTCATGTGAATGACATTTAGGTAATCTGTAATTTCGCAGAGAACATTAAGGCGTCATGCCTCGACGTGATGCAGAATTTTCTGTTCAGTCTAAAACCTAGGTCTTAATTGAGACTATGATAGTTGTTTCAGGGAGATGGCCACATAAAAGAATATACTTGCGCAAGCTCTGGATGTGAATTAGGGGATAACAGGGTTCCATGTGGCTCAGCTATTCCAACTACTGTCAATAAAGGTGGTAAGTCAGCTCTCATGAAACGTGACAGGGAACTATGGTATCATATAAAGACGTGCTATCTATTGTTCGGTGTTATTTGGCACTCCAGTGTATACTTGAGCTAGTGTCGCTTGATTTTTTTTTCAGAGGCCTTGGAAGAGGTTTCCGACCAAGAGATCAAGACCGAGAATCACCGCCACTTGCACAGGGACTTTGCCTCCTATTATACGTTCAGACTATCAAAATGGTGGTCAGGTATGCTCTCAAAAAGTTCCTCCTTGTTTTCCAACTATAACGGGCTTTTCAAAACGACACGCATGCTCATTGTGTGAATAGATCATCACGTCTTGATCGATGAATGCAGGTTCACGTTTTTAGTGGTATCTTTCGGATTTGCGACATTTTTTCTCATGAGTGCTCCAGCTATTCATTATCGTTACACTGGTTTCACTTCTAGTGATCATGAGGCGAGAAGTATAGTTGATTACATAAAGTAAGTATTCGCTGACAGAGAATTTTAGACAGCATACGTGCCTGACGCGATTGTGCCTCATCATGCCTTCTCTGTGTACTCTCAGCCTCATTCGCTCATACTGCACATACATTCTTAGGGTCAGACAACACGGCACATCGTTGGTTGGGGAATGTTCAACAGGGGGGGGGGAGTGGGGGTGGTATTTGGCCGCCGAGAGGAGGGGGGTCGTAATGAGTGCGGTAGCTAGTAACGAGCAGCGCAAAGGTGTCAGTGTGCTATGTCCTGTACAGCTAAACTTGCTTTGTAGAGAACTCGGATATGTAAAGAATATTACGAAACTTTCATTCATCAAAATAATCCGAAATAACTGGAAATATTCATAAGTCGACATCATCTCGTAAGTGACTAAACGGTACATCTCATACTCCGCTGCAGATGATGGGGCGTGTCCGCGATCGCATTTGGCGCTGAGCCAGCCTGTCTTTTTCGACAAACGACAGGACTACCATATCGTCCGTATCAGACGTTTTCCAGCAGTTGGTCTCCTTTGTCGGAATCAGCATTTGGCGGAGCGCGAATCTGGCGGCGTCGACAGGGACACGCTCCATCATACGCAACGGAAAACACTGAAAACAAGTGCACAGGTTCGCCATGGACCTCCCTAAATTCTATAGACACACTTGCTCGCGTGGACAGACGTTACGCTCAAATTGCACTATCCCATCACCTCTGCGCGGACCTCGATGCGCGGCGCATCCAGAGTTAGCATGATTGGCGCTAAACAAACCACATCGTGCTCCTGTTCCACCACAGGATCCGTTCTAATGTATTTCTGGTTATTCGAACGCGCTCGCTTGAAGCCGTACACGGAGGACTTTCGAACAGTTCGGAGTATTCCCCAAATAATCCCCAACGCAATTATCTCATGCGGGAGCTTCAAAAAACTTTTAAGTAGTTTTTGGAAAGAGAAAGTGTTCTCGAGTTCAACGCTGGTTTCAGATTCCCAAACTATTGAGGTTCAAGGGAAACATCTTAGTTCAAACCTGTAAAACTCGTGCTGCAAACTATCCAGAAAAACTCCCCAGAAACTCCCCAACGCAATTATCTCATGAATCCCGGAAACTTCAGAAATTCGACACTGGTTTCAGATTTCCTTCAAGAGAAATATCTTGGTTCAAACCCGTACAGTTTGCACTGCAAACTGAATTTCTCTATGAATTTGGCGACCTTCATAAACATTTCAGTACTTTTACTTTTAGGAAGCTCAAACCTTCCTCTACGACTGCGGTCTCCTCTTTCCCACAGATCCGCTTTTGAGGAAGTTATGGATCTTACCCTGTTTCCCTGAAAACTCGCGCTCCAATCCAACCACCTTGCAACCACCCTGCACGTCTGGTCCTGCCCAGAATCCCTTCCAATCGATTCCTCACCATTTTCCAGCTGATCGGCTAGTATAGCTCCATTTCGTTTCTTTTTTTTTCTGTTATACTGTCTGTTTTTCTGTTATGTTATGCTATTTCTGCTTTCATTTGCGTCATGTTATGCTACATCATTTAGGCCGCATTCATAACTTGCGACGGTGAAGAAATGCAGAAACGCGGAAAATGCAGAAATGGCGAATTGCGAAAAATTGGAAATTGTGGTGCTTTTCGTCATTTCTGCATTTTCCGCACTTCTGCATTTTCCGCATTTCTGCATTTTCCGCATTTCTGCATTTCTTCAAAGTGATGTGTATATTACGCCTTTCATCATTTCCTCGGATTCCGCATTGCTTCATGGCCTCGGGCTTTGTAGGGGGGGGGGGATCAGCACATTCGCTACTTCACATCCTTGTATACATTGCGTCACAAAAGTTGACAGGTATTCCTCGAAACTTTGAGTGGAATCACTTTATGCCTTTACAGCTTAGAGCCGCCATATAGCTCTAGCGCCTAGCTCGAGCTCGAAAAGAAAAAACAAGCAGAAAGAAAAAAAAAGGGGGGGGGGTCGTACTGACCCCCCCCAAAAAAAAGGGGGGGGTCGTACGGGTTCGACCAAACTTCCCAACTAATGCTGTGCCCTGTTTGTCAAGACGTAACAAACAAAGACAGAAGCGTATGTATTAGAGCGGTGGGTCGGTAGGGTGATACACAACTGCCACGGGGCACCTCGCACGGTCCTTAGGTATGTATCTTAAGTCATCCGAACGAGCTGCAATACTTTTATTTGTTTTGACATTGTGCCAGTCGCACGTTTCTGTTTCATTCCTGCGCTCTTGTTTCCAACTGATGATTATTTTCAGTTGCGGTACTGCCCACGCCATCGCAAATTATTCCATTGAATGGAAAGCCGACAGCGCTTGGCCGTCACCACTAACAAGTGATGCTCCCTGGTGCTCTTTGCCTTTGCAAGAAGCACAAGCTCGCTTAGAAGGCATACTCGTTGTATTCGTACTACTACCTGCAATACCTTTTTTGGTCCTTTTTGTTGCTTTCATGGTCGAACTAAATGAAAACGGAGGAGTTGCACTGGTGTGTCCAGTTTCTGATGTTAAAAGTACTTTAACTTGTACGAGTTCTCATCTGCAGCCGCACAATAGCCATAATTGTGGCAAGGACCTCTCAAACATTCGGAGTGGAGCAGAGAATTTACAGCTGCTTACCGTCGAAAAAAGTCAGTTTAGTGAGAAGCCATTCTCACATTCAGGCAGTTGTGGAGGTTAGATACTTTTTCCTCAGTGGTTGTTATTGCCCACAATCTCTACTCTGCAGGATTTCAATTGCGAGAGGTATACACTAGCGAGGCGCACGCCTCTTCACTCGCTACGTAAGTTTCAGTCTTCTCACTGTCCATTCTTTTCAGCGTTGGTCATAGTATGAACATTTTGCAGAATAGCTGATAGGTCCTCATCAAATGTTCTGGACGAAACAGTGGCTGACGATAAAGTGAGTTAAATCAATATCGCTTTCTGTAAGTTATTGTTAATCGTTCTTGCTTGTTGAAGGATCTTGCGAAACCGAGCCCTACCGATGATGAGAACAGCTGTACAGTGGAAGCCGAGACAGCTGAATATCAAGGACCTTGGGAAATTATTAATCAGCTGCGTGCTGAACTCGTTTTTCAGCAATGTTAGTTCTTTAGTGTAGTATATGTTCGTCCGTGTTTGAGCCGTTTTTTTAAATGAGAAAAGCCGGTTCTAGGTAATTTTAGCTCTCATACTATTTCAATCCTAATCAGAATTCCCTCTTTGTTAAGCAATGCTTGTTAATGATGAAGCCGCGTGGAACATTTGCCTTCATTACATGCGAAAAGTGGAGCAAAATTTGTCACAGTTGAACACGCAGATGACCTCCACTATGGGAGTTGCACAAGGTTAGTTGTGCGATGGCTGTAACATCGTTGGTGGCCTCTTCCCTTTCGGAATTATCTATCAAATTCAGGCTTTCGATCATTGATAGAAGAGGTGTCACATATACTGCCTACGATATCGGATCATGCCATTCAGCTATCTAGATGGATGCATTCTGTGCAAAATGCGTGTGCGAAATTAGAGCACATCCTGCACTCTTCATCTAGGAATAACGTTTTCTATTCTTGTTTCAAGTCACAAGACATATGTCTACAGCAGAATTTGTTTGCGTTGAATACATATCTTCGAGATCGCCAAGCTGTGGACAGTTTTCCACAAGATACTTCTCCGGATACTCCTGAGGTAATGTCTCGGAAGGTTATCTCAACATCTGGTTACACGACCGCAGGACAAGCCCTGTCGAGTCACGCTCAAGGGGAGCAGCAGTCCAGCCTTACCGAGCAGGCTGCGTCTTTTTCTGTACCTACTCGACAATGTAGTGATCAGCCTGGATCCAGTCAACAGCTTCGACACATTGTACAGAATAGACCTGCTACTGCCAACGCTGATAACCACTCATCTAACAGCGCCTGTACTGAATGTGTTCAGCCTTCAGGTTTGGCCCTGTTTTTTTGGTTCTGCAAATTGAAGAATTATTTATCTCTTAAGGATCAGTGAAGCAATTGTCGCGAGCTCACCCGGCTCAGCGGATACCAAGGGTCAGCGCGTACACGGTTTCGTATGCTGGTGAGTAAGCTGCGTATTTTCCTTGCTATTGTTTTTTTTTGAATCGAGCAAAGTATATTTAGCAACACCGAGAGGATTTTTTTCTCGCCTAACTCTACCGGAACTGCTTATTCGAATAGAACAAATCAGAAACATTTGCGCTGGTGACATTCTATATCCTCAAGAGGTAGTGTACTGCATCGCATGATCAGCTTTCATTGGCACCGTATGTCCATCTTCAACTATCATGATGTTATGTACATTGCGCATCCGTGGCCTCCAAAAATTTCTCGTCTCGTTTTCCGTCGCGTTAACCGCGCTTCACATGCAAAGCGTCCTACTTACGTCCTAGGAGAAAAACCTTTGCGATGAAGAAATACTAGGGTTTCAGCTCATTTATATGCTCCTGGCAAGTGGTGATATCATATATGGTAGCAACCAGCAGCAGAATGGATTCCACCATTACACAGTGAGTAAAACTATTCGTTGATTTTTTGCGAGAGCGATGCTTTTTGTGCTTACTTGATGTTTTTTATACTCAGTTGCGAATGTAAGTTTCAGCTGGAGCAAATGCCGGAATTGTTTGGCACATCAGTCCCTGCAATTGATGCTAGAATGGGAGTGCAGACGTTTCTTTCACATATGCGTCGAAGAGCTTTAACAGTTGTTGGCGCCGTCGGCTACCATTTTTCACTAACACCACACAGAGGAACTGAGTAAGGTTTTTTTGGAGCTTTTTTGCATAGCGTCATCACCATGCTCATGGAATTGCTAAAATTGCTAGCCATATTCAATGCACTTGTCTGTAACTCTTGTCGTTGTGTCCATGCACTTGTTTAGGGGTGACAGCTACAAGCGTCTCACATTTACTATTCAGTTACACACCTCCAGTTTTGCCGCCACTTGGGTTGTATCGATCTGAAAATGAGCTGGTACTTCGAAGGGTTTTGGGAGACAGAGAAGATATTCTGCCGTTTTTGCGTGATTTCCTTCGCGAGTATAATTTCGGCAGGTGAGGCACAAGTTTCATTGTGATATTCATCGTTCACAAACCCTTAATGGCATATTTTCTCCACTCTTTTATAGAGGCCCTATCAATCCACGTCCGGATCTGAAGTTCGCTTCAGCGTTCAGGAAGTATCTGTGCATGGTTGCTGTAAGAGAGGGATTCATTCATGAAGATCTTGTAAGAATTCCCAATAAATTTTAAATTTACTAAGTATTTCAATGCCACTCTTCAGGAAGATTATGTACCGGATCCTTTGCCACCTCCAGAGTTACCGAATGATGAATCTGCAGAAGCACGTGACAGCAGCTCTGAAGCATATCCTCCCTCTCCATCGCAGTGAGGGTCTTTTTGACAGAAGTGGGTCGTTCGCAAAGACAAGCAGAAGATGAATCATTCTGGCAGACTTGCGTTGGGTCGCGACGCAACGTAGTCGTCTGATCGGTGTGTGGGCTGGTGGTGTCTATCCATGTAAGGAGCCGGATCGGGCATTGCTTTGATGATTCCTCCATTCTTGAAGGTGTGAAATTGTGGTTTTTCTATTGAAGAACATGATTATACGAATTACTGCCAACTATATCCACTGAATAATCAGTTTGAGTGAAAATTTTTTAACATTGTTAACAGACTTTTGGTATCAGTTCTTATCAGAGAGCCGACTTGAATCAGTTATGTAAGGCTATTGATGATCTTCACCTATCTTGAGTTGTCGAACCTACTTCTGCGGAAATTCGTGCCATGAGTTGAAATAGTTGGTTACGTCCGTTCAATTGATCCTGTTTATCGATTTGCTTTTCTCGCAAACGCTCTAGGGCATAAAGTGATAGTAGGAAGGGGCCAAGCACGACAGATGAGGTGTCGTGTCCCAGTCGGATCTCTGGTTTTTCTGGCGAGTCGTCTAGAAGAGGGCTGTAGGGTGATTGCTGCCACGCGGTGTTTGTATTGACTGTGCACGACGAGTTGTAGTGAGAACAAGCTTTATTGCTACTGCCGGATGTGTCGAATGCCTGCTCTTGGATGAAGTTCAGCTATTGACGTGGCGCCTCAGTCCTTGTATCGTTGTGTAGTCTGAATGAATGAACGAACGAATGAACCATACCGGCTTGCCATCCCTTCTTATACCATATTCTATCTTATCCCTCAAAGATACTTATCAATCATTGTACACAGCGCGTTACTGAAGCAGATCATTTTACCTATCAATAAACAAGTTAACATTCGAAATGAAAGCCAAAAGAAATGAAATGCTTGTAGCTATTGCTACACTCCCCACCCTTTTATTGGACACCGATGTAGTGTTTCAACGATTTCTTCCACTTCTTTTCTGTTTCTTCGATACGCAATCTATCTTTTGAGCCAGGTAGGGTGTAACTTTCTCGCATGTGTAGCACACCCTTTAGTTGGGTTATGATAGCATTCGCGAGACGTGCTGCCAGTGTGATTGCGTTCACTTCGAGCTTTGGTATTGTTGTGTTTCCATGGATTGAGGGTAGTTTTAATTTTGCCATTAGAAGCTGGATCGTTCTGGAGTGCCTCATATAGGCGCATGCAGTTGTTCCTGTGGTGCTAGAATCTGCGAAAATCACGAGCATCACTGTGCTCATTTTTGGTGTCAGATATCTTGGAATAGATTTGTGAAATCCGATCATATCGTTGCTAATTTTGTTCCATTCTTCTTTTTCTTTATTGGGTGAAGGGGTATCCCACTCGTATTGATTCCTCCAAAGGTTTTGTAGGAAGACTTTTGCTCTATGGAGAAGTGGGATGTACCAGCCCATAGGGTCGTACACAGTGGCTATCTCACTTGTTACAGTCCGCTCAGTGATTGTCGGTGAAGACTCCTTCATTAAGCATTGAGCCTCTAGCGTATCGGTCTGGAATTCCACTCGATTCCAAGAACCTTCTGATTGTGACTACTTGCTTTATCTACATCCGGTATCGAGTTCATGAGTGCCAAATCGTTAGATGTGATCCCACGCAAGTTCATTTTTAGCTCGCGGAATATTGCTTTCGAGCTATGGTAGAATCGCAGCGCTTCTTCATAAGAATCGGCTGTCAAGAGTACGTTGTCCACGTAGAGGTTGTCCTTGATCTTTTGAGCTATATCTTCTTCTTTGTGCCTGTCAAGATGATAATGGGTTGTTCCTGCCAGAAGAAAAGAGGAGGATTTGAGTCCAAAAGTGACTCGGGTAAAGCGAAGTGTCTGGATATTGTTCACCGAAGGAGGTTGCTTATGATCCTTGAGCCACAGACAACGTGTTGCGTCCCTATCTACTTCATGTAGACGAACTTGTAAGAACGCCTTTTCCACGTCCGAAATTAGTGCTATTTTGCCGATCCGAAAGCGTAAGAGTAAGCCATATATCATTGGTAGCATTACTGGTCCTCTGTGCAGAACGTCGTTCAAGGAGGGGCTATCTTTGAAGTGAGCTGATGCGTCAAATACGATACGGAGCTTTGTTGTACTTTTCTGGGGAGTTATCACTAGCTGATGAGGGATGTAGTGCACTAGGACTCCCTCGTTGAGGCTGTTTTCGTCCACCGTTTCAACAATATTCTTGCTGAGTTGATCTTGAAAGATGCCATTATATTGGTCTGGTAATTGTTCATCTTTCTTCAATGAGTTCCAAACACTAACAAGGCGTTTATACGCTATTGCTCGGTTATCTGGTAGATTTGGATATTGTTCCTTCCATGGTAGACGCACGTAATATTCATCTTCTCGACGTTCGATGGACTTGTTGAATTGCTCCCAAACTCGTTTGTCTAACTCGGATTGCGCTTCCTTCTCAGGTCCAAGAAATTCTTCTGTCGCAGCAGAGTCCATGGTCCAGTATTGTTCCCATTGATCTCGTTCCTCTTGGGAGATTACTGAGTCTGTCTTTCTAACCATAAAGATATGAGCAGAGTTCATTGACCAGTGATGGTCCCAGAGTTCCACTTCATTGTCATTCTCTTATGAAACTTGTAGAACTGTTTCTTCTCCTATTTTGAATTTGCCACAGATCAAGTGGGCCAATTTTGTCGGCAGAACATGTAGTCCGGACGGTAGTGCAAGTGGAGGTATGTCACTTCTCACAAAGGACCATAACAAGTCGCATCCTAAGATAGATGGCTGGATGATATTTCTTTCTTGTTTCGCCTTGACTAGAAAATTAAGATCCCGTAGGAATTCCTGATCTTGACTTGATAACGATGGCGATACTATTTAATGAGTAAGAATATTGTGTGTGAGTAACTCCAGAGAATGTGGGTTTCCGTCTTCTTCCCACATCTCCATTCGTACCCTTTGACACCTTCGCTCGATTACCTCCTTTGTGCCGAAGTGTTCAACCTGATGTTCTTTTCGTCAAGAACTGCGAGTTGTAGTTTCTTGGCCAGGTTACTGTCAATGAATGACACCTCGCCTCCGGTGTCGAAAAGAACATCCACTTTGATCAGAGCTCCGCTGTTGGGATCCAGCACTATGACTTCCCCTGTGGGTAAATAAGGATGTCGAGAGCTTCGCGTGTTCAACACCCTTTGTGTTGAAAGTATTGGTGTTTCCTGTGGTGGACTATCTTCTGATTCCTGAGTAAATATAGCATTCGAGTGAATCTGATTTTGTGAGCTCTTGTTGAATTTCATCTTTGAACTGTCATTCTTCTTCCTGAAACCTCCATTCGAGATGCTTGCCTTGTTTGCCAACGAACTCTTGTTGTTCGAAGGCGTTGATGCCGATTCCGAGAGTGGTTTTGGCCTGAAGCAACTCGAGGTATGATGTAGGCCATTGCAATTGAAACGAAGGCTACCCTTGCACTGATGTGTTGCATGATTAGCTGATGCACAAATGAGACAAAGTCTATTCTGCCATAAGTAAGATGACCTGTCTTGAGTTGTAGGGTACTTCGTGCAGTTCACCGAAGAGTGTGCATCTCCGCAGTACATGCACCTAGGTCCTATTTTTGCGTGCGTAATGCTTGATTTCCCGTAAAAGTTGCGTCCTTTTGGTACAATGGGGTTCTTGTCGGCGAATGATAGAAAGGCTTCCTCCGTGGAGAGAATTTCATCTATGAATTTGAAAAGGTGTCCCATTGTAAATGTTTCTGTCAGTCCTTGTTTCTTTTTTATAACCTTCCGTTTAGTAGGGTCAGGAAACTTAGCGAGTATCTTCCTGATGAACCATGAGCTGTTTATGTTTTCTCCCTTATCTTCGAGCTGAACGGTTATGGCTTGAAGTTGCTCTAAAACTGATCGTTGGTCCTTCACTGATGGGGATTTTAGATCGCAAGACTCTAGTCGCTCGATCAAGTGGTTTACCAGGGTTTCCTTGTTATTGTATTTCTTGATAAGGCAAGACACAGCTTTGGAATAGTTCTCGCTAGTGACTCTAAACTTGACAATGGCTCCCCGTGCCTCTCCATTCAATGCGTTTATCAAGTAATTGTACTTGACCATTTCTGGGAGGTCCTTCGAATTGATGTTGTCATTGAAAATCTCCCAGAAGTTATCCCACTCCCATATGTCCCCGTCAAAGGTTGGAGTGGGAAGCGGTGGTAATTCTACAGCTTTGGGCTGTACGGGACTCACTGGTATTGGTACTGCTTTCGGAGACGCTTGTGCCGTTTCCCTGGGGATCGCCTGCTCAACTTGTGTTGTGTTTGACGATCGTGGAGGAGGCCTTGCAAGAAGACTACGAAATCAAATGCCCTTGATATTGCGGCTTCCGTTGTTTTTGAGTACTGTTCAAAATCTTCTTGCTCACTTATATTGGTGCTTTCTTGGTTGTCAACTTCTACTCCCAACTCGAATAAGGCTTTCTCAACTTTCGTTGTTATGGTCTCTATTGAACTTATAGCATTTTGCACCCTAGTGATCTTTTCAGTTCCTTCTTCTTGTGAAGTTCCAAACGCGACTGAAAGTTCCTCTACTTCATCTGCCTTGATCCCTCTTATTGATTCTTCTAATTTATTAGTGAATAATGTTAACAAGCGCTTACGTGTGGCGATCTGATTTGTCATGATGCTCCTCGCACAAGTCCTCGTATTGTAGCTCCGTATATTTGATTGCTAGTTCCTGCTGAAGAAAAACCAGTGATCAATGATGATGAATGATCGTAACTTGTGGTTGATGTCCAATAGGAGCGGTGGACTTGATTCCAGAATTGAGTGAGGTCCCGCTCTGTGAATCTGAAGTACTAAAGAGATGAGTGTTAACTGACCTGGATATGTAGTCGCCCGATGCACCAATTTGTAGGGTGATTGCTGCCACGCGGTGTTTTTGTGTTGACTGTGCACGACGAGTTGTAATGAGAACAAGCTTTATTGCTACTGCCGGATGTGTCGAATGCCTGCTCTTGGATGA